CCCCAAAACCCCAAAACCCCAAAACCCCAAAACCCCACAGCCCACAAAAAATACTTAAAATTCTATATTGCCTTAAATCTTTAATTTCCAGCTGAGTCTCTATTTTTCTACCAAACCCCATTCCCTTTGTAAATCTCATTGGTGAAAATTTAAGGGTTCACCTCTCGGCAGGCATGAGTGGCCATGCCATCTTGGGCCTAGCAAGACCGAAGCTGTACATCTCAGTGGCCTTGCAAAAAGTTAGGTTACTTATTTAGCTAAAGACACATACAGATCTTAAAGCAGAATTTAGCTGAGATTGTTCATTTCAACCTGGTGAGATAATTTATGTGTGAAAATGCAAGCGCCATGTGAATTATAACTGCGTTTTGGTATTTATACTCAAAATTGGGAGATACACACAAAAAAGGATTCAAAAATAATAATGTAAGGCTGGAATCGAACTTAAGAGATACTACAGATACTCATCTGAGCTCTGAGGATCTGATGAAAGTCTAAAACAGAATAAATCAAAATTCATTATAGTCTTATTAAAATTTCGACTCCAAATACTCTTGGGATTTGTGAAAATCCTAAAATTAGAGTTGTGATTTTAAACACTAAAAATATGAGGAGAATAATAGTAGATCGTTGACAACCACTAAAAGACTGAGCATATTGCCATATCATCTCTAGAACACAGTGATAGTTGTAAGAAGATTACAATACAACTCATCAGGGAAATGTAGAATTGGGCTTATTTTGCAGATTTCTCATTTTATTATCGATATTTACGATACAACATTGTATTCCCCAGATGCTTAGTTCTGTAAATCTGATAGCTTTTTGAGACCATATAAACCAACTACGAATGGCTCGGTATCTATTCCAGTTGTTCTACGGAAACCGACTTTATTATTAGAGCACAAGAAGTTCTTGACTGCCTCTTCTTGGGGATCGGTATCTTTCTCTTCTGTTTCTTCTTCATTTTCAATTCCGGTTTCTATTTCAATCAAGGTTTCATCATCGTGAAGGAGTTCGTACATGATACTCATGTTGAGAGGAAGCTTCTCAACTGAGTCTAGATTTTTGATTAGCTTTCTGCATAGTGGACATCTCAATTTCTTCTTATTTATACAACTTTTTCAGAGATTCAGTCGAAAATGTATGTCCTCAGTGTACCAAAATTCTGGGAGCTCTCTCTTTGATATTGTATTTCTTACCAGAGAATTGGCAATAGTCTAGACCTCTAGTAGAATATTCCAGTGTTGACTTATCAACGCATGGTTCCTTTGCAGATTTACTTGACTTCATATTTAAATTTAAAACAATTATTCAAGAATTTTCTACATAAAAGGGGTTTTGGGGTTTTGGGGTTTTGGGGTTTTGGGGTTTTGGGG